GTAACTTTTTATATATTTTTTATAATATTGTTATACTTACCTACTGTTTGTATAACTTTTAAAATATTTTGTTTTTATACAAAAAAATACAGTATATGTTATAAAGTAGCATTCTCATAACAACTAAACAAACGTTGCAAGCGTAAAAAAAGTAAAAATAAAATTTAAAAGATTAATGGATAATTCTTAAGATGAAATTTAATGGAAAATTATTATAGCCGGCGAGCACGTTCACTGTTATTTTTCTTCCTTTATTTTATAATATTTAATATGGAACCTTCTTATGGGTAATAATAGCATTAAAATGTATCAGACTAATATATTTTTCGTTCTTGTTAAAAGTAAGCAGGAAAAAAAAAAACACGATAAACGAAATAATTTTATATTTTATTTTTAAAAAAATATGTAGAGAAACTCTTATACTCGTATTTTTATAATATTATATAGAGTTTTTTATGTATAGACATTTTATAAAATGCGATCAAATATTTTACTTACCTTTAAGCGTAAAATTCCTCCTTATTACTTACTTTATGTTTTTACTGACCACTTTGCCTACAATAAGAGAGGCGATATAATGGTATCAAATTTTTCATGTCAAATTTTCAGTGGAAATGCATTTGCTCCATGGTAGGGAAGCGTAAATGAATAAGATTTTTAGCAAAATGTGCGCGCCGTTGTGCATTTCAACTTCAACTAAATCGATATTGGTGAAAATTTGTCTGAGTTTACTTTACCTATTTCACCGATTGCTCAATTTTTGGGTCTCGAGAACTGGATCTTTACTACGGCCGAATTTACACTTTTGCACATATAATCATTTCAAACCTTGGAGTTTAATATTTTAACTCATAGTATTAAAATAATGATTTAGTATCCTGATTTTTTGGGAGTATGGTTTCCTTATTCACATCAAGGCTCAAACTTACTCTACGGAATTAATTTATGGAAAATCTGAATTCTGTTTACCATCGGACCTAACTGACGAACTTTTCAGGGAATTCTGATGACATAAAGTGAATCTTTAATAATTAAGTTTCCATTTTTGCTTTTAATTTGATAGAAGGATTTTAAGTATGTTTTCATAAAGTTGTGCAATATTTAAAAAAAATCAGAAAATACATCGTTCATATGCTGACCACATTTTTTTAAAATTTAGATGTACACTATATACAAATATAATGCTTTCTCTTTTGTTGTAAAACCAATGAATAATCTGAGATTTCAACTAAAAATATGGAAAACAAATGAAGTATAAAAGAAGCAATAAAAAAAATAAATAGGTGGGTAGACGTAAATGTATAGCTATGTATGCGCTTTCTAAGTTAAAAGCTTCAGTAAATAAAAAAAATAGACTATGTAATAAACCAAAATAATAAAAAGAAAAAAAATTACAAAAAAAAGAAAGAAATCAGCGTAAATTCTTAAGAGTTGATCATAAATTTTGATCTTAACTTTTCTAGTTGAAATATATGAATATTTCCTGTTACATAAATATTTTTTTCTTTTATACAATTTATTTAGAAACAAAAAATAAAAATTTCACGGAAACAGAAAACTAAATTTTACTAATTTTTTAAAATAAAACATGTACATATGTATATAACGAAAATGTCGGAACTTTGTAGGTATATGTATAGATTTACATCATGCGCTGTTTAAAAAGGATTGGAAACCTTTCTTCCTGTTTAACTCTATAATGAATTTTAATTTTAATAAATTCTCTAAATAAGGATTTATACTCGTATTTACGTTTTACTTCACTTTTTTTAAAGTAATAAAAAGTACCTTGGTAAAATTAAATCTTACATAATAACAATTTCTGTTTTAAGTATATAAGATATTAAAATCGAATTCCATGGTACAAATGATTTAGTCACAAAAATTTTTAATTAAAATATAGAAGCCATTCAAAATTTGCATATATAAAACTTTATCACAAAAGTTATTCTGCCACAATAGTCTTAAATTTTTATTTAAATGCTTTATGTAAAAAATAAGGTCTAAATTTTTTCAAATACCGTCTGGGTATAAAATACTGTTATATTTAAATTTAAAAATATAAAATGTTTTTTGTTATTGTTAAAAAATAAAGGAATATCAGAATTGCTAAAACTTATATTATAAATATTTATTAAATTCGTTGAATGAAAATAAATTTAAAAAAATATGCATAAAATGTGTAAAAAAATATTAACAGTTTATTAAAAAATTAGGGCAGTTTCGGAATAATATTAATTCTGAAACGTGATTTTTTTGTTATAAGAAAGTGTAAATGAATGCATCACGTTTTTTAAGCAACATATTACTCGTATAAAAATGCGTACATATTATATCCTTAATATGCATACATATTATGTATATGTGCGTATAAAATAATTTTAAGCATGATCTTGGTATAGAAAAGTTTTTATTGGCAATGTAAAAAATTTAGAATGTAATTTGAGAATATGTATACGAGGTAAATATTTCTTTAAAATTTTTATTTTTAATTGAATTTGATTTATAAAATATCAACCAAAACAAATTATATAATTACAATTCTTGAAAATAGTTAGAAAATAAAATTATTGTATATGTATAACGAAAAACAAGAAGCTAGGATAATGATGATTTTGCTTGCGGTATGAAGCCATGATGGTATTTTGTTGAACTCACATATTCCTTTATTATAAGTATTACTTGAGCCTGTTTTAATCGTCCATAAGTTGAAATATTTGTAAATAATAATCGTAGCAGCTTAGCGTCATCATAAGTACCAAATATATTGCCATACGAGGAATAATTGTAAATATGTATATTAATATATTTTTGTACACAAACATTGAATTTAAACTGAAGGTATTTAATTTGCCTAAAAGTATGCAATTTCTGATAATTTTGTTTATATCTTGAAAAAATAATTTCTCGTTTTCAATTACCAAAATTTTGAAGTGATTTTTATCTATAAATCATTTTTGAATGCAATACAAAAACGAGAAAATTGACAGAAATAGAAATTTTTCAGGATTTTGTCACTAAATTTTGTAAAAAGTCTATTTATTTTTTAAATTGTTTATAATTTTTAATAATATGATACAGGTTTGAAAAAATGATGAATTTTTCATTTTAATGCTTTGTATAATTTTAATAGATGAAAGTCGATTTAATAAGAATTTCAAATGAATTAACCGGAAATTTTTTATGTTGGTTTTTATTTTTTTTTTTATTTATTTTTACTAATTTTGTTGGGACTTTATTAAAATGTTGTCATAAATACATTACACTTTTCAACCCTATTTACTTTAAAATATCCTTTTTTTTTCTCATCTGTTGTAATGATATCTAAATTTTTTTCTCATTTGTTTGATTGCCATTACGTAAAGGCAATAAAAAAAAATCTTGTTAAATTATACTTGTAAATAATCTGCATATATCTACATAATAAAATTTAAATACAATGTTACAATATATAAATATAATGTAAAAATTTTTATGTATATGCATGTACATAAACACACACATGCATTTATAACAAATAATATTGAGTAAATTTGTTTATTAAAAAAATTTTTCTTTTCCGTTTCTTAAAATACAAATAAAAATTTTCTATGTATGTTACGAGTATTTATTTATGTTTTAATATTTATTTTTCTTACTCTATAATATTTTGTTGTACGTATGAAAATGTTTTGTTAAAAAGCCTTTTAACAATACATTTACATTTGAAATTTTTCTTTTAGAAAATAAAAGCTTTTTCGTTTTCTTCTGTTATGTAATCATAATGAAATTGTGCCTTCCATATACCCCCGTGTTTATATTTACCTATAATTTATTGTTTTTATTTTCTTCTGTTAAAAATTGTACATTTATATACAAATACCATATTTTAAATATGTATATATATAAGTATGAGAGTGTGTGTGAGATTATTTATAAAATGTATTTTATGGGTGCCTGTGTATGTAAAATTTTTTATTATCTATATAAGGTATATGTATGTTAATTTATGAAACGATTCAAATTTTGCATAATTTTTCATTTTTAGGCATTTTACTTTTATGTTTTCCTCTTGGGGTAGGTCGTTTTTACGCACCTTACTATGTATGTAAAGGATTTTTTTTTTGTTTGTACAATATTATGCCTTATTTCTTTCGAATTTTTTTTAGCTATCCATCTTGTTAGGTAATACTCGTAAGTTTTAAGGGGTATGTAAGTGTTAAGAAATATACTGGTATTTTTAACATAATTTATATACATTTATATACATATATGTATATACATATTTTGCAAATATTAAAGAAATTATGATTGGGAATAAAAACTGAGTGAAAGTAAAGTTAAATTTTGTTAAAAGGATATTTTATTATTAAAAATGTCTTAATTTACTTATATAATGTATATAAGTCTTTATATAATGTACAGACATACTTTTTAAAATATTTCTATTAAATGAGTTTGTATGTGATTAATTTATAAAAATTTTAATAAATTTTTAATAAAATATAACACATTTTCAAGTTATGTAAGAAGACGATTTTATATGAATTAAAAACTAATTACATTTATAGAAATTTACGTAGAATATTTGTTTGTTTTCTTTAATTCTGAGATTAAAAAAATTAAAGAAAAAAATCGAATTTAAATCAAAAAATATTTATTGTAATTTTTGTTTATTTTTCAAAAATAAGCTGAATTTAATAAATTTTTCCTAAAATTTGTATGTCTGTTATAATACGCGTCAATTAGACATTGGTAAGATTTATTTGTTTAACGTGAATTTTCGGGAAATATTCTTACGATTCCACAGCTTAATAAAGGGCTCCTTAACTCTCTATAGTAGAGCCGCATAAAAAAAGATATTGGATTCTTAACTTAAAAAAAATTTATGAATGTAAATATGTTTTGTACTCTTAATTAATTTATTAATTTATAATATCCATTTTAAACAATTCAAAGATTATATTTATAAACCAAAAAAAAAATGTTTATTTTAACAAATCATTTATTTAATTTTGCAGTGTTCAAAGAAGAACCATACGATTTAACAAATCTAGCACCAACAGCTGGTGATTCTTGTATACCATTACATGAATCAACACCATTATTTGGTGAAATGCTTGAAGGATTAATATTACCCGATTCATATGCTAGTTTATTACCAGATGAAATTAATTCAATAGATTCACAACAAAGTAATAATCAAAATAATTGCAATAATAATAATAATAATAATAATAATAACAACAATAAAAATGGTAATACATCAATAGATCCTTTCATTAATTATCGTGATGATACAAGTGATACAGCTAGTTCACCGCATTTACTATCGCCTGGTGGTTTATCAAAGGTATGAAAATTTATATTTAACAAATTTATTGATATAAAATTTAAAAATTAATATATATATTTTTTTTAATACAAATATATATAGAGTCCAGAAGCTAGCAGTTTACCATCATTATGCAGTCCGCATTCATTAAGTCAAGAAGATGAATTTGCATTTATGACTATGAATGTTGAAGATGATATTGATTTATCAATGCGTGCTCCATATATTCCAATGAATGAACAAGATGATTTACCATTATTAACTGATGATTTAATGTGGAGTGCTTTTACTGAAGAATTAAGTTTATCTAAAGATATGAAAGATGTTATGCAAATACCAGATATAACAGCATTAAAAAATCAAATAAATCAAACAAATCATAATTGTTATAATAATAACGTCAATAATAACAGTAATAGTAATGATAGTAATAGTAGTAATAATATTAATAGTAATAATAATTGTTTAACAACACAATTAAATTTAAAAGCACAATCACATAATATTCAACAGCAACAACAACAACAACAACATCATGAATTACAGCAAACAACACCAATTATAGCAACATCAATATTACAAACTGTTAATAATATTAATTTAATTAACAATAATAGTAATAATAATAATAATAACACAAATAGTAATACAAATGAAAATGTAAATGAATCTAGTTTGGTAAATTTATTATGCAATAATAATAGTAATGATGATAATATAAATAATAATAATAATAATAGTAATAATAATAATAATAATGACGATAATATTATTTTAAATAAATTATCAACAACGGACGATGATATTAATTGTAAGAAACGTAAATATATTGATGATAATTTATGCGATTCCATTGATGCATTTGGTCAAGTTTTTAATAATAAAAATTGTAAGTATAATTTTATATGCACATATTAAAGATTATAATTATATTTGTGTAAAATGAAAATGAAAATCAACTTCAATTACTCTTAATAATGAAAACAAATGTTAATTGCTCCTACCAGATTATAGAGCATTTTTTATTATTTCATTATGCTTCTTAATTTGTGGCGAGTTTTGGGGTAAAATAAAATTATCAATCACAAATGCTATTTTGCTATTAAATTCTATAAAAATAGTTTTGTCTGTGTTATTTAAACCAAAAAAAATTAAAATAAAGAGAGACTTTAGTTGTAGGTTTTATTTTGAAAATTTTATGAAAATTCGAAAATTTTTAAATTCTTATTCCTTTTATTATTTCTATGCTTTTTATTTATTACTTAAATTTTTTTTTTTTTCCTCACAGATTTCAAATTTTAATTCCTTTATTTTTGAATAACAATTTTTATATCTTGCGTTACACGTGATTATATTTTTAGTACAAAAAAACTTAAAGTTAGAAAAACAAAAAAAAATTTAAATGAAATTTCATCCTAATTTAAATTAGTAAACATTTTTGAAAAGTGTTTTGTTCGGTTTCTGCAAAATATTTTTGTAAAGAACAAAAAAAAAAAAAGAATAATTTATATTTTTGTTTCTAAAAATATTCAAAATTTTTTTTTTATTTTAACAAATTTCCATCACACGTGTAATAATAATAATCATCATACAAATATTTTCCATTTTTCCACCCATTTCTGTTTCTTTTCTATTTTACTTTTACATGTGGCACCAATTAAAATTATTAGACTAAATATTATTCTAAATATATTAATTGTTTTCCTTTGTTTTTTGTTTTCGTGAAATCTTTATCCGAAAATATATCTTGAGATCTCAATAATAATAATACAATAAAATTAATATATGTATGCGTTTCTTATAATTATCCAATGGTTTTGTATATAATGTAATTAAGTTAATCATAAAAGTCGACCTGATTATTTGATTGTTATAAGTGGTTTATAAATAAAATGTCGGCGTATGACTATATAGACGTGTGTATTTTGAAATATTTGATTTTTCTTTTGATAATAGAAACTATATGTAACTGAGATCTATGTAAATTTAAAATTTTTTGAAGTTCTCCAATTTTAAAAAACAATAGTTTACAGCAATAGAAATTAAAGATTAATTAATTGAAGGAGTTAAAAAGTAAGAATATTAATTAAATTTTTTTTTTTTTTTTTTTTTTTTAAATTTTACACTAAAATCCAATAGATTTTGAACAATATTCATTCATAATTGGTCTATTAATTTTGAAAATAATCAGATTTTCGAGTAACAGGGTCTTTTATACTTCAAAAATTCTGAGGTGTAAATGAGAAAATGAAGAATATGAAACGCAATAAGTTCTTTCATTTGCAAATGTCCACTGTTTCGTTGTTAAAAAGACTCTTTTAATACTATGATAACTTCTTAAATTGTATTTTAACAAAAAGTTATAAGAAGTACTAAAAATTTTTGAGAATCTTTCAAATCTATTGAAATTTACATTAAGAAAAAAAAAAATCACTAATTGTCTATAGGAGTGGAAAATATAATAGAATTCTTAGCTTTAAAAATATAGTAGGGCTAACAATTTGCTTAATTTCACAAAAATCCCCTTATTTGTAAACAATTATTTTGTACTGCCGAAATTGTAATTTTAATAGCTAATTTTCAAGCAAAATCGGTAAGTGACTGTTGCGAATTAACTCACCAATTTCCTTGTTTTGAATAAAATTTTGGTTGTATTTTACTCAACTTAGATTTATTTCTATTAGAAAAAGAATATATAAAAAGTTGAAATATTTTCTACACCTATGTGAATGCGAAAAGAATCATAATTACAATTTCGTTGTTATTTATGAATTCGATTCTTATTTGGAAGAATAAATAAATTAAGAATTCTAATATATACGCCAATTAAGAGCACATAACTTTTTTGTTTTTTTTTTTTATTTCGAAAACCTTTGAAGTTTAAAAAAAAAATTACTAATTAGTCTCATGCAAAATTAAATGGTAAGCCAAAAATTGAAAAGATTCTCTACATTTTTTTTTTTGAATGGATTTTTGTTTGTTGTCTTTTATATTTATTCGACTTATAGAATTTCAGTAAACTTACCAAAATTTTAATAAAAAAATAATGTGTTTTTTTTTTGTTTTCGATAATAGCACATGTGTTAAGTTCAAGGATATTTTAGTCAGGTGTTTTTAAGTTTAATGTTTTCATTTTTAAAAATGTTTCATGAATAAATTATTATGAAAAAAAAAATTTAATAGTATCTATTCGTAAATGAGTATAGGTGTAGATGCGTTTTATGGTGATATCAAAAACCCCCTCAGTTTTGCAAACTTAAATGAACTTTTTCAAGTGTAAGTTCCTATACGAATTTTTTTAATATAGTAATAGAGAATAATAAAAATATTTATATAGATAAAAACTGTAATCAATTTATTTTTTGTGTAAGTTAGGTTTAAGGTGCAGTGACATTTATGATTTGAGTTTTTATTAGCATTAAACAGCTCATAAGTCGATACGTCGGTCTGCTTACTTAAATAAATTTGAAAGCTGATATTAGAAATAACAATATTAATTACTCATGACTCATTTTGAAAGAGACAAAAATTACTTTTCATATAATTTTCTTTTTGGAACTGTTTTGGTTTACGTGACTTTTAATTAAAAGGAAATGTCGGTCTGTATATACTAGCGTTTTTAATGCGACTACTATAAACATTTTTAAAAAAAAAATTTAACGAAACGATCTATTTTTATTTATTTTTCTTTTTCTGTTTTGTTTTATTTTTATTTTTTAATTTATTTTTGCAAATATATTTCTAAAATTTTGAATCCGTTCCATAATAAAAATTTATTTTATTCTATTGTGTTATAGTTTTTATTTTTTCGTATTGTTTGTTTTCAGTTTGCTCGCAATCTTATGATCATGAACTAAAGTTATTAAATCCTTGACTTTGAATCATTTATGATATGGATCACTTTTATTTTTATTAATATGTACATTCCCATTTCAACTACTTATAGCTATATAGTAATATTTATTATATTTATTTGTTTAATATATCTTATAAACGTACATATATATGTATATGTTATTTAAAATTTATAGATTGTGTTAAATCTATTTGGATTGTATAGAAAGATAGGAATGAAATAATAGAAATGGTATTTAGAAAAATAACTGAAATTTTTCTCCTATTAGAAATTATTGTTTTCTTTTCAATATCTATTAATTTTTAATGATTCAATCATAATATCATTATTTGTAATATTTTAAAAATATTTTTAATAAAAACAATAAATTATTTGTTTTACACAAATATGTGTAAAAGATTATAAGAATTATAAATTGAAAACTTTAACACTATTAGTAAAATGATTGCTTTTTAATTGCCACAGCAAATAATTTAAACTATACACCTAAGAGAAATTTTAATTTCATGTACATACTCTTCTCGTTGTATTTTTAAATGTATTACAATATAATTTATTTCCAAAATATTATATAAAAAATTAAGTTGATTTTCATTTTAAAAAAAAAAATTATAAAATTTAATTGATTTAAAATATTATTAAAATAAAAGCAACATCATTTTTATGTGTAAGATATTAAAAACCTTTTATTTTTTTCAGGTTCAAATCTTGATTGTTGGTCTGTTAATGATTTATTGCAATTAGATCAAGAAAATATTCAATTTAATGATAAATCACAAAATATATTAATATCAAATTTGACGAATGGTATTGTTTCGGCACCAGCAACATCAAATACATCATCACCATCAATAATATCAACAATTTCTCCAATAACAACAACGGCAACAACAACAACAATACATGTCCCATTAATAACTATACAAAACAATTTAAAAACTAATCAATTAAATAGTAACAATAATAATAATAATAACAATAATAATAAATTAAATATACAAATAAAAAATGAGAATAATTGCACAAAAAATATAATATTAGAAAATCATAATATTATCAATAATGATAATAATCAAAATTCTTGTAGTAATAATAATAATAACAACAACAATAATAATAGTAATAACAATAATAATAATAAATCAATAATAACAACAAATCGAATTTTAAATTCTTGTAATAATAACAATATAAATACCTCACAAGTCAATACTGTCAAATTGATTCCACATTCTACAATTATATTAAATGGTACACATTTAACAAATAATAAACGTCATATTATTGGAGCTACAACACAATTAGATTCTAAACGTATAAAATGTAGTGAAAATTCTTCATTAATAACAAAAACAACAGCATTTACAACACCAGTAACATCTATTGGTAATAATATAATAACATCATCTTTACAAAGAACTCAACCAAATGCTAATGTTCAGCAATCACAACAACAACAACAGCAAAATGAAAAAACAATGCAAAATGTTGAAATACAGACGACACCACATTTATTACAACAATTAATTTCTGCTCCAAATCCTAAAATACAAAAGGATAATAATAATCAAAAAAATCAGAAAAATATATCTGGAATAGATAAATACAATCAGAATAATAAAAAAGATAATGATGGTCTAATAATTAACAAGACACATAATAATCATTTAGAACAATTGAAATTACGTCAACAACAACAACAACAACAGCAACAACAGCATTCACCATCGAATTCTGTTTTAAAGAATCTTTTGGTTAGTGGATGTGATGTAAGTGCTGGCTATATATGTCTTGTACCAATGAGACCAAAAAAAACTGCGAAAGTTTAGAAAAAAAAAAAGAACATACAAAATTATATAATGAAAAATTAAATGTCATTGCACAGTTTTATTATGCAATTTCATTTTGATCGCCGGTACTATTTTAATTGCAGCATATTATAATTTTAAGATTTTTTTTTTTTTATTGTAAATTTTTTTCGTATAATTTATCCTTTTAATAATTAATAAATTTAACAATTTTCAATTAACCAATATCGAGAAAGATTTTTAAATTGTATAGAAACGAATTGCCTAAAAAAAAAAAAAATTTTTTTTTTGTTCGCGTTTTTTAAATCAATTTTTTTCAATACAATTTAAAGTCGAAATTCTAGTATTGGTGCATGTAGGAGAAAATCATTAATATTGCCTTAAATATTCCTAATTTTTCTATAAATAAATAAATTACAATTAATAATATAGAAAAATTTCATATAAATTATTTTTAAGCAATGTTTTTTAATTTCGATATTATTCTTTTGTACATTATCGTGAAATCTTTTGGAACTTTGTATTGTAAAACAATTTAATGCACAATTTTATGATTTAGACAATAAAGCGGTTGTTATGTGTATAAGTAAATTATTCACTCTAATGAAACCGTGAAAAATTTTTTTTTTCAAAATATTATTGTGCCCGTACAAAATTTAATCACACAAATATATTTCTTTCGTCAGCCTTTATTTTTACAAATAAATAATTAAAAACATTCAAACATACAAATTTTATAAATACTTTGAAAATGGATAAATTTAAAACAAACACGAAAAAATAACCAAGAATTACATGCTATTTTAATTTTAATTTAAATTTTGAAAATTTACAATTAATTTATAATACTACTACCTTAAGATCGAAAATTTATAAAGAAGCCCGATTATTTTTCATGTTTGTTAATATACATTTACATAAACATAATACAATATGTAAAATGAATCAATTATCTATTTAGCTTTAATAATTTCGCTTATAAAGCAACTATTTATTTAATTAAATAGTTTTTCTTAAATAAAATGCAAATTATTCAATAATTTTTATTGAGATATTTAATTCTCATTGTAAAATACTATTTAACTATTAAATATATTTTAGTTGAAAATTTAATTGTTGTCAAAATGGATCGATTTACTAAAAAACAAAACAAAATTTAAGCAAAACCAATAGAAAAAGAAAACTATATTTAATATATAAATAATATTAAGTGTATTTAAACAAAACAAAAAATACTAGAAAAATAAAATTTAGTAGTTTAAAGTAAAAACTAAAAATAATAAAAAAAAACTTTGTTAAATCTCTTTTTTTTTCTCCCTCATTTCTCTTATCAATTAAGTTTAGTTTCTTTTTAATAATATTATTTATTTTTTAAGAATTTTTTTTTAATCCTGATGTATAAAATAATTTTATTTTATTTAATATTTTAATGATTATTTTAATAATTAATTAATTAATAAAAAAAAAGAACAAAAAAAATTATAAATTATGTTTTTCTATGAATTCGCACACTTTTATAATTAAATATTTTTTAATAAATAACAAAGTTTTAATTACAATTATTTTAAATTAAAATTAAAAACTTAATTTATAATTAATTCAAATTAGGAGATAAATAAATAAAAAATAGAAAAAAAAAACAACAAAATTAAAAAGTTCTTTTGTCTTAAATTTTAGCTAAGTAATTATTATTTTAATTAAATAAATGCAATGTATGGGAAAATTTATTACAAAATTTCAAAATTAAAAATAATAATATATTATACATATATAATATAATAAAATACATAAAAAAACGATACGACTTTAATTTACTGTGATATAGGAAAAAATGAAGCAAAAAAAAAAAATCAAAAAAAAAATATAAATGTTTTATTTTCGTGTTGTTTTAAAAAAAAAATTGTTTTCTTTTTTGTATTTTTTTTTAATTATTTTTAATTCTTATTGATATTTTTTAAAATTTGTAAAACTTTTTAAAACTTGTATTAATCCCGTTCGAAACCCTTTCGGTTTTTAAAGTTATTGTAATTTGGATTTTACACTTATTATTCGAATAATATTTTAGATTTTTGACATTTTATATAACTGACATTTATCAATAAATTCAGTTATTGAAAAAAATGTCAAACTAACGTCAAGAACAGGAAGAAGTAAAAAAAAAAATACATTATAATTTATATTTTAATTTTATTAAAAAGAAAATCATTGCATCATGAATATTTCTGGCAATTATAAATTACAAAATTTTAAGATGAAATTAAATTTTCAATAATTCTCAATAATTTTGTTAATTATTTTAACGCTCAATTGTAAATAATTTGTTATTTTAAAAATCTTGCAAATTAATTTTTATTTAATTAATGTAAATATAAAATTAAAAACTTATTTTATTTTATATTTTTGTTTTGTGCATTAGATGATGTTAAAGAAATTAAATATTATTATATATATTTAAAAAAAAACACACAAAATGATAATAATTGAATTCGATGATAGTATATTTACGACATTTTCTTTTTTTAGTTGAAAAATCAAAAAAAAAAAAGCAAAATACCATTTAATTTTTGGCTCTAAATTTTCTTTAATGATTAAAAACGAAAAAAAAAAATAAATAAAATTTGAGCGCTAAACGGTACAAAAGAAACTAAAGAAAACAAACAAAAAAAAATAATTTTAAACAAAAATTAAAATACAAACAAAGCAAAGAAAAAAAAATGCAAACAATAAGCGGAAATAAAACAAAAAAAAAAAATATTAAAAAACACAATTCCATTGTTGCGATTCGATCCGGATCAATTGGTCTCAATTTAGATTAAAGCGTTAATAATTAGAACGAAAAATACCTTGTTTCTCCCATTCGAGAATGCATTATGCATTTTTTTTTTTGTATACTATATTTACGAAAAACATATAAGAAATAAATACTAAATATTAAAAATTTAAATACTAGAAATTTTTGTTATTAATTTTATTTATTCATGCATTAAACCTTATCAGTATCCCTGAAATCTGAAATGTAATAATATTGTATTAATGCCAAATTCAGCTTATAAATAAAAATTGCTGAATTGTATATATTGTATAATTACAATTCCGATGTTAGGGTACCTTTCACTTATTCATCATATCATTCATTCTTTGCAAAAAAAAAAAAAAAAACGAGAAAAAAAATATAACATTCAACGAAACCTTATTGTCCTCAATCCAACGTCAATGAGAATCAGTTTATCATTTAAGAATATACGATTAATTGAATTTTTATCTTAAATTTAATTTTATAATTTTATAAAATTTGATAACGAATGGACTGATTATCCTTTCAAAGAAAGGATATTCATATTATATGTAAAGTAATAATTAAATTAAATAAATAAAATTAAATCAAAATATAAGAGAAATTTTACAAATAAGAAAGTACTGATATTATACTTATATTAAAATAAAATGCGGCTATAGAGAATAAAATCAATAAATTGAATATGAAAATTATTCGACTATCGTATATGTAGTAAATTTATGACGTTCAATATAATCGAGTCGCTGATAATCGAATTTTAATTGTGACATTTTCATTAAAATTGAAGTTTTTCTTTTTTTTTTTTCTTATTTTCTTCTATTAATTACTGTCACTCACACAACGTACATATAGTATATGTATACCGTAAAATTTTAAAATGAATCAAAATATTGGAAATGTGTTTGACATTTTAGTTGATGAAACTGATAATGAAAAAAAATATAATTATTACTATTGATTGTATATAACAATAATAAGAAATAAAAATTGAAAAAAAAAAAAAAAATAAAAATAAAAACCTTATTAAAGAATAAAATAATTATCGAAATCTTTAAGTTTAAAACATTTAAATGTTAGGAATTTAGAAATAAAATAAGAAAAAATAAAAACAAGTAAAAAAAAATTTAATTCACATCTGTCATAATATTATTATGTATTTGTATATAAGCAATGTTTAGCTTTCTTCTTTTTTTTAATTATTGTATTTTAAATGATTAGATTTTGTTGTATAAGGAAAAAAATAATTATTTAATTATTTTTATTTTTAATTCATTTTGATTTGTTATTAATAATTAAAAAGTTGATTTTCATTTTTATATTTGTTTCCATTTATTTTCTCTCTTTTTTTTTTACCCTTTTTAAATTTTGATATTTTTGCAAATATTATTTAATGTGGTCAGTAAAACTAAGGAAAATAAATAAAAATTCAAAAATTCAATGCCCAATAAAAAAAACAATTATTGCATAACGTGTGGAAATTTTGTAAAAGAGAAGATAAAAATGTGTAAGAGTATCATAAGAAAATGATTAAAATGAAAGAGCGAAGTAGAGTTGTTGGAGAGAAAACTTTATTCAAAATATATAGAAAAAATCAATGTTTTTGTTGTTTAACCCGTTATATTTATATAGATAATAACTGCAAAAACATAATTTGGTGGATATGTAATATATTTTTGATTGTTATATGAAAGAAATAGAATTCATATGATTTAATTTACTATGTATATGGGTTATAGTCTAACAACATTTGTTTATGAAAAAAGTGTCATACGGTTCTCATTACACTTATATCGCAATATACCGTGTTTATTAAAAGACTTAGTTTCGGAATCTTGTTAGAAGTTGGAAAACCAAATTTTTTTAAAACTTTTAGCAATATATAATTTTTTTTAAAGCTTTTTCATTTCAAATATAGAAATGAAACAAATGACGAAAAATTTTTTATTTAAAATAGTAATCCTGTTATATGTATGACATTTTCCAAATTTTGTTTATGGAGCATTGTTTCGTGTACAACTTCAAAAAGTAGTAAAGGAGGTATTTTTAAACATTTAAAATATTTTTAAATTTTTTTATATACTTATAATAAATATTATATTCTTTTTATATAACGACCGTCCCAAATGAAATGAAATCGTCCTGTAACATTCTGATTGATTTAAAA